GCACATACATATCCTCAAGATGGTTTCCAAAATAAAACGACAGACACCGACTGTTTATAATACAATAGTTCACTATGAGAGTCATGGTTTTTATCTGTCATCTCTTTCTGATAATATCTATGACTGGTTTTCACGATGAAACGACAGACACCGACTGTTTATAATACAATAGTTTACTACAAAACTTATGGTTTTCGTTTAAAACGACAGATCAAAGACTTTGTTTTTTTACTGGCTAATGATCATCACCATTAGCACTGACACAGACATAAGAAATAATATCAGATGAAAACAAAAATAAAATAGAAAACTATTTAGCAAGTAAAACTCGATATATGGCTCATTCAATATACTTATTTGTTTCATATGATTGACTCGGAAATTTTATAGTTAGTTTCGAATCAGTAAAATAATCGTTAAGCCGAAATGCGATCTAAAGTAAATATAAGTGCTGTTAAATTACAATCCAGTATCGAACAAATGAATGACTGCTTATGGCGATGAAACGTGTACAAAAAATATTACAGCTTCTTTTTGGATAGGCATAAGGAAAAAAGGTTTTATACAAAAACTCTTGAGTCTGTATCCAGATGAAAAATAGTTTTTAGATTTGTGGAATCATTACAGGACTTGTATAGTTATATAGAATCATTATGGTGAATTTAGCCATCAAAATCAGAAGATAATAAGTTCTAGTCGTTGGTATAGAATTTACGTAGTCTATAAGATTGGTTTAAAGATAAAATCTCTCCGACCTGTCAACGCATATCTTCGAAGAATGAGTGAAACAATCCAGAAGTCATTACTAATTGGTTAATCTTAAAAGTTAGCGACGAACCAATAGCAGAGATGAAGAAAATTGATCGTGAAGATAAGCTGACGCTCAACTATAAACATATACGTATACACCGATCCCATCGACAGTTCACACTTCATTCGACGATCTCATTTTGAAATATCGCTGCCACTTATATCATTATTCTAATCCAAGCATTATTAACATCAAGAGTTTTTATTACATTAAAATATCTCAAGTATGTTTTCTACAGTTACTAGTACTATATTTGTTCCTGTATTTCAATAAGATCCTAGAAATTCGCCACGTTTACACTTTTGAATACATTGTATACATCTTTAGTTTCGATTAAATTTAATTGTCTGTCTCGCTGTAAACTCTACTATGGAATGTAGACTGGTTTTAAATAATCAAACCGACATTAACATCACTAATGACGAAATGTCCGGCATATTTCATCAACATCTTAAATATTATAAATATCAACGCGTCCCAACAGTGACTGGCAAAGCTATTTTCTATCTTTTTTTTAATAAAGAAGAAGATACATATGCTGCTCTTCGAGCAGTGAAGGCATTCAAACAGATCTCACTTGTCAGATACCATCCATTACATGAAGTTGATTACGAGGCACCATTTCGACCATTTCCACCGGGCAATATAATTCATACTTGTCGCTATGCATTTAGAAGATATTTTGATAAATTTGCTGATACGGTATAAAAATAGACTTTTTATAAATATTAGATACTGTTTCTTTTCACGTAGATACTTTTCAAAACATTTATTCGTCGTCTTTGTGAACAAATAATGGCACAATATATACGAATTCCTGACGGTTTGTTGTTTTCTATTTTTCACAGTTGAACATAAATAATTTCTGTTTGTTGTCATTCTAGTACATGAACGAATTGACAAGCTGCATACATGGTGGCATATGAACAAACAATTTTTAGTGAAAGACAATTATTCTGTACAAAAACTTTTAGATGTGTTTTTCAGTTAGAAACTTTTTTATGTTATTACATTTTTTAATACTGTATGAAACTATTGAACATCTTTTTTTGTCTAGTATAAATCCTCATTTTCATTGTTCTTGTCTGTTTCTAGATATTCACGAACACGCACTTAAATTATATCTAGAATTATACTTTCTCAATGTCTGATCCTATTGTAATCAATATTGAACAGGTATCGTCGTCGAAACGCTTTTTTATTATTTAAAACATATCTTTAATTATAGATGGATGAACCAATTTTAATTACGATACCAATGCCAACGATTATCCTCCAAATTCCACTCGGTAAAATAATACAACTACAGGAAGCTGACTCTGAGTCAAATACTGGATCAAACACTAGATGTACTCATTGTGGTTATTTAGAAAATGAAGAACAAGAACTGAACGAAAATGATATAGAATCAAAGGAACTTGACGTAGATGATATTAAAATAGTAGAAATCAAAGAAGACGTGATTTTCCAACCTGATATTGACGAGCAAAATCAATTTAATGAATATATGCTTGATAATTATGTAAATCGTTACAAAGCTTCTTTATCTTCCATTTCAGAAACGGATACAAAAGATGAAGTTTATGATTGGGATCATCTTTTTGCCGACAAGATTCGTGGAAAATATACAGATACAAATGGTACTACTTCATATATAAATGAAGAAATACAAGATGAAAGCATAAAACAAACAAAGAGAAAGATCGATGACGATACACAAATAGATAACATTGTAAATAAATATAAAAAATGCTTGTAGTTTGTAGAATAAGTGTAATTTACATGTGTCGATTTTTTAATGTTAATAAATATATGATTCAAAGTCATATTCATCCTCATATCAAGTGTAAGAGCGAGCTAATAAGAAGAGAATGCGATATATAAGAGCAGAAGACACAATGAACGATGCATGATATTACCTGTCTATAGATTTTCATGGATATTGATTTATTTTGTTGATAGCTATCATTTATTGTCAAACATTTTAGATATATCTGCTGATCTATCTATAATATCTATTATACATTGATTGATTATGACGGAATATACAGCCGTTGAGCTTAATCAAGATGTTGGATGTTATTTACTAAAACTTATTAATGGGCTTGACGCAACTAATTTTATCGAAGCAGTCAACGATAGTCGACAATTCTGGTCGATTGCAAAAACATCAGATCATCATTTTATTGGTTCAGTGAAGTAAACGCCACACGTAAACTCCACATTTGGAGCTCA